GTAAAGACTGGCAAATGCAGAAAGGACATGAAAACAACTTGTCACTGCACGTCAAAGGATTTGTCCTGCGGCGCACTGGAGAGAAAGCGGGGTGAAACGGATCACATGAAATAACTGCCAACAGGCGTGTTTGGAGATTTCTCCGGATGACTGTTCTCACTAGGCGCTCGCTCAGCAGCCGGCCGCGGCAGCACATCAGCTAGAGGTGATCGAAGTGGTGAAGTCGGTGGTGTTGTCTTGGGAGAAGGGGAGAAATCCGGTTGTGAATGTGGTGGTGGTGAAGCTGCTGGTGAGGTGGGTGTTGGTGAGGGGAAGGTACTTGTCGTGATGGATCTGCTTGTGGTGGTTTGGAGGAAAGTTGTTGGTCTTGTAGATGTTGCATGTCTTTGAGTTCTTGCCATCGGGCTTGGCACTGCTCGACGGAGAAACCAACTCGGCGAGCAACAGAAACCCAGTTGGGACGGAGTCGAGGGTTTCCTTTGAGTTCAACCAGGCGACAATCAGCGTCGCCGTCCCATGCGTCCCAGTCTGCTTGCTGGTTCAGTGGTGGTGGCAGTGGCTGCTTTCGCTTGCGTGTTGTAGCAGGTTGTGGGGCTGGGGCCGTTGATGGTGTGTCGTCGGAGTCTTTTGAGGGTGGCGCTGGTAAGCGAGTGGGTGGTCGAGAAGGTGCTGAGTCACAGGAGGAGGTGGTGGACGGTAAACGTATAGGGTGAGTTGGCGGAGTTGGTAGTGGCTGAAAATGTTGGCGGAAAGTGGGATCCGCTTGGTGGATGTGGTGGAGAAAGTGAGTGTGAAGGTGCGCTACAAAATCTGTTGCTTGTCTGAGCAGGTTTTGGACCTGCGAAAGTGTCACAGTGGTCTGATGTAAGAGAGTTTGGGCGTCGTTGTGTGGAGGTGTCGTTGTGCTGCTCATGGCCTAAAGATAGAGAGATGTACAGTCACACAGGGTCGTCACAGGTTGCTGCGGCAGCGCGGCAAGGCAGCTGGACGGCAGCTGGTCAGCGTGAGCACGTCATCACGGGGCCATGCATATGAATGAAACGAGCATCAAATTCCCGCGGGCATGGTTCGAAAAACGCGCAGGTCCGACTGAAAGATCAAACGCACAAAACTCCAACATGCGATGAAGACATCATCTGAAAAGCTGGTAAAATTCGGAATGATATTCTGCAGAACGAAGCCGTCAAAGCTTGAAAAGGTGAAGGCGCAAAAAGTCGAGTGATCGCTGCAAAAGTCTTTTCGCTGCTATAGGCGAAGGTTTGTGTGGTGGTGTGAGACAAAAGGTGGAGGTGGAGGTGGTAGCGGTGTGGAGGTGTTGGACAGTGGTGTTACATGTCGGGTGGAGTGGAGTTGGTGGACCAGGCCAGTCCTTTGACGATGGCGTGGTCCGGGTGGATCACCCAGCAGCGGCCCTTCTGGCGGATAACGGCTCCGTGGTAATCGTTGAGCAGGGTCATGGCGTGTTCCTCGCCGCCTGAGGTATATTTTGTGGCAGCGCCCCAAGCAAGGAGTGTGATGATGATGGAGTGGGAGTTCTTGTGGAGTTGCCATGTGTTGTGGATGATGCGAGCAAACTCGCTTTGATCATGGGGTTGATTGTGGGTGATGCGGACGCCCTGGGCAAAAAAGCCAGGGTAGTTGGCAAAGTGGAGTGCGCTGGGTAAAAATCGACCTTGGCGTAGAATGTTGGCAATGTTGCCGACCGGGCCTGTATGGCCGGCATTGATGTGGGCGACTTCCCGGTGGGTTGAGGTGGCTCGGGAAACCGCGGGTGGTTCAGGTGTGGTGGCCTTTGTGTTGAGGAAGGGAAGTGAGATGGCGTTGTATTGGAATTGGTCGTATTGGCGAGTGGTGTCGTTCCACTTGGCGTGGGTATATTGTCGGAAATCGGTGATCTCCTTGTAGGTGATGTTGCAGTCGGTGAGGAGATTGGCGATGTACTGGTGCTGTGGTCGGTTGGGGGTGTCGAGTTGGTTGGCGTGGAATTCGAACCATTCGAGAAGTTGGTCTGCAGGTGAAAGAGCTTGAAAGTTGGGTGGAGGTCGCCAGCGGTTGAGTGGGCGACGGAGGACTGCTGTGGTGGGATATTGAGAGGGGTCGGTGTTGGTGTGTTCGGTGTTGGGGCGTAAGTCGATGGGTTGTGGTGAGCGGCTGCGGGAGGGTGTGGGGCTGTATGAGTAAGTGGATGTTGAGGATCGGCGTCGCCGGGTTGTGCTGTGGTGCTTTGAGTGGCGGTGATGTCGATGCCGGCGGCGGTGGTGGTGGCGCCCTCGGTAGTGATGATCAGACTTGCGTCGGCTCTTATGGTGGTGGCGGCGACTGCTGTGTTGTGGCTGTGGGGAAGGTGGTGGCGGCGCCGGTGAAGCGGCGCTGTCGGGCTTGTCTGTTGCAGGTAGTGAAGGCGCAGGGGCTGGTGGAGCTGAAGCGACGGATGGTGATTCGGAAGGTTGGGAGCCAGTGGCTGGAATGGTCAAGTTTGGGACCGGTGTTGAAGGGTCCGTGGCGGATGTGGTGACATGTTGGACCGGTGGTGTGGGGTCCGATGGCGCCGGTTGTGGGATTGAGGGTTGAACTGGTGGTGGAGCGCCGATGGCTTGTGGAGGCGGCGGCGGAGGCAAAGGTTGAGGTGGAGGTTGTTGTGGAGGTTGTGTGACTGGGGGAAAAACGGAGTAAGGTTGCCAAACTCCCTGGGGGATGGTGCATTGCGGGTCTGTGGATGGATGATGGGCAACTGTTGCTTGTTGTGGTGCTGGAAGTGGATGGGTCTGCGTGGTGGGGGTAGGTTCAGCAGGTGGTGTGGGATGTAGTTGTGGCAACATGTAGGAAGGGGAAGGTGCTGCGGATGGAAACACTTGAGTTGGGTGGGTGGGTTGCGGTGGCGGTTGGGATGGTTGCACAATCGTCCAGGTGGAAGGAGTGCCGTAGGACAGTGCAGTAGCGGCTGGAAGGGGCATAGTAGGTGGAGCTTGATATGGTTGTGGTTGTGGATGAGGGAATGCCGATGGTTGTGGCGAGGGAAAGGTGGGTGCAGTTGGCGGCTGCGGCAGCGGCCATGTGGGTTGAGGTTGTGTAGTAGGTAGTGGTGGTGGTGTGGTGTGAGCATATGGCCAGGGAAAATGCATGACGTAGTCGGACTCGTCGGTGGTGAGAAACAGCGCTGTGTAGTGAAAGCTTCGCTATGGCACGGCGCGGCGCAGCGGCAAGGATCCAGCTGAAAAGTGCCAAGTTGTATTGTCATAGTGATGTTGAAAATCTCATCGCTCGTGTTGACGGGGAGTGTGTTGTGAGGCTGAGCAGGGTGTGAGCTTGTTGTCATGTGCGAGCATGCATCTCGAATTAGAGTTTCAGAACTCCAGTGCACAAGCTTGAGTTCTGCTGATGAAAGGATCACGGCATCGATCTGAAAATGCAACATGTGGAAAATAACATGTATGACTGATCCGAAAGCCGGTGGAAGAGAAATTTGCCGTGTTTAGGCCCGGCGGCCGATGCATCTGTTGATTCAAAGGGTGTGTCAATGACTTCCAGTGGAAATCCGGGAGAGGTGGCATGTTGGGTTGGTTGCTTACCGATGTAAAACTGCGCCCCTGTGACGGGGATCACACTCAGCACCCGAGTGGGACGGCTGAGCGAAACACACTCTGACATTGGTTTTCAGTGACTCTGTTACCACGTTGAGAAGGAAGGCGATGGAACCGCAAGGTGGAAAGGTCAGCTGAAACAGTATTGTTGAACAATGTTGGCACTCGCAAACGGCGGAAAGCGAACCGGCTGCACAGCTGCTGCGGACGAGTGTTTATGGGGTGGAAAACGTGAAGAACCATGAATCAAAAGTGGAAGATTGGAGTAACAGCTTGTGAAAGAACGAGCAGGTACGTCGGCCAGCGTCCTGGCCGATATCCTCAGGACACTGCAGAGAGCTTTGTTAAGTGGAGCTCTGCAGGCCTGCTCCACTCCCCTGCCTGTAGAAGGTGGTTGAAAAAGGTAGTTGAAAAACGTGGAAGGAGTAGCGGTGGAAAACCCTTTGTCCAGGGGTGGACACACACACACACACGCGCGCCTCCCCGAAGGGGGGCATGTGTAGCCTCCATCCTGCCAAGGAGGCACCCCCATCCGGCCCGGAAAGGGGTTACGCGAGGCACACGCGCGCGCAAACGAGACAGATGAAAATGAAAAGGACGAGACAGACAAAAAGTGTGTGTGTGGTTGCCGATGAAGAAGAACCAAGTGAAGAGGGACAACCGATGAGCCAAACCTCAGCAAACCTGGGCCAACCTAGTTGTAAGTAGAATACGCGTGCGTGTATGTGTACAAGCTAAGGTCCGGACGAAAGCGCGCGCAAGAGAAGGAAAGGATGAGGATGAAGAGACATTAAGACAGAAAGACATGAAAGAAAAGAAAGGAAGACGTTTGCGGGCAAATGAAAGGGGACAAACCAATCACAAACCCAAACCTCATTGAGAAACCTGTTGCAGAAGCCTTGTTTGCGCGTAGGCACGCCGCGCGCGAGAAAGGAAGGGGGGGGAAGGGGAGGAAGAAAAGAGAAGGAGAAAAAGCTACGACGCAAGCGTCCAGGGCCAAAGGTAGGGGCCAACGCTAGTGGGTAGAGGCCAAAAAGTTCGGGGGCCTACCTGCAAACCTATAGAGTAGACTAGAGGAAAACAGAAGGACAGGCGCCGACGCACAAGTGTGTCGAGTACCATTTCCTCCTGTTTGCCTAAATAGTGGAGCAGGTACGCAGGGCTGATCAGGCCCTGCTTCCCACTCTCGCCCGCAGCTTTGTTGCGTGTGGCAGGGCGAGAGTGCCACACGCCCCTACTCCAAACCGAAAGGTTCCCTGTGAGTCCAAGGGTTGCACACGCGCACACACACACACACACGCACGCACACGCAGCAGCGCGCACAAGCAGCAAGCAGCAGCGCAAGTCGCATTGATCCTTTCTCGAGGGGTGCGTGCAACGACTGAAGTGTTGAAATCAAGGCGGTGAAGCCGCCCCAAGGTACTTGACTGCTGATTTATGGTGCGAGGACGCGACGGACAAAACCAGTGACAAATTGGACTCGTTTTGAGACACTGCAGCTCAGTGTGTCAGGCGGTTGAATGTCAAAGACAAAGGGTCGACCTTCAAATTTTCCTGGTTTGGATGAGGAGGGCTGTCCAGACGGCTATTTTCGAAAGGGCACTGACAACGCACTGGGACGTAGTTGCGCTCCATGTCCTGAGAATGCGTTGAAGTGCATCGGACCTGCTTTGATCACTGAATCTTGCCAGAAGCCAGGTGTTTGATCATGAACACTACAAAGTTGGGCTGAATTCGGGATGGAATTTTTGCCAAGGAATGCCGGAACTGGTTGTACTTGACCCCAGATGGCACGTGTGCGCCAGGCTGTCCACAAGGCAGACTCCGCGCTTGCGCGCTTGTCAGACGGACCAGGTATTTTTTCACCAAACAGTGTGGACACACTTAGGGGTTTTTACGGTAATGGAAAAGCAGCTGTGCTTAGATTGCTATGCCGCGCGGGCCTCTCCGGCTAATTCGCTGCTATTTACACATTCACGCCTCCCAAGATTGTCCACATGCATGTCGACTGCGCAGGCTCGCAGAATCTGAGTGTCTGCGGCGGGTGCTTCGAACGACTGTGCTCTCGTTGTGGCGCCGCGCGCATTTTCGCACACGGCGGTCACTTTTCGTGGCGCGCGCAGAAACGTCGACTTTTCCTGGCAGGCGCAAGGGATCGGAGCGGCTTTTGCTTCGAAGTGCAGATTCGTGGCAGGCGCGGCGCTTTGGATCTTCGAGGCGCTCTGATTTCGTGACTGACACGCGCAGTGAATCGTGACTCGTGGACATGTGGCTCGTTTGCAGGTTTCGTGGCAGGTACAGCACTTTGTGAGCCTCGACGTGCAACAGGCACAGCGCTTTGTGAACCTCGGCGCGCAGGTTTCGTGACAGGCACAGCGCTTTGTGAGCCTCGATGCGCAGATTTCGTGGCGGCTACGAATTTTGGAGTTGCTCGGCGGGGATCGTCGGACAAATGTGAGGCGCCATGCGAATTTCCAGTGACTGTTGTCGAAAATGAAGGCGGAAATTGCCAAAGTGTGCAAATTGTCGCCGGGCATGAAGGTGGAAGTTGCCATGTGAGTCGTGAGCAACGGTTCAGAATATCAAGGCCAGAACTTGCCCAAGTGTGTAACTGTCGTGGAAAACGAAGGTGTAAATTGGTTTACAGCTGTGGTGTATCTGTGGTCGAAAAGGAAAGTGAAAGCTGCCAATATGAATGAAGGTGGAAGCTGCCAGCGTTGCCAAAGTGCATAACTGTCGTCGAATATGAAACTGGAAGTCGCCAGGCCAGCAGAACTGAAGCTTTGTAGTGCCCGTGTAACTTTACCGCGCAAATGTACTACGGGAAGCAGCTTCTGAGCTGGGGGCCGTGGCCCCAGAACTGGCAACTTTGTGGCGCAAATGTTGCGCAGGAAGTGGCTTGCGAGGATGTGCAAATGTAGCGCGATGTAGCGCGGGAAGTTGGCTCAGCGCAAATTTGCTATGGCGGGAAGCAGGTTGGAGCTGTGGTATAGTCTGTGGCGCGCAGCGAAATGAAACGTCGGTGATGTCGCTGGCCATGCGGATTTATGCTGCTTTGGTTGAAACGGTTTGCGCGGCTCCGGGCCATTGGGCAATGAAAAGCATGCGTAAGCGCGGCGGATCGCTGGGGGTAGGACGATTGGGGGTGTCCACGGGGATTGGTGTTACCTTGTTGTGTCTAGTCTGCGGCACACTGTGGGTAAAATTACGTTTGTGATGTCGCTGTGCCAGGCGGAAGCGTTCAGCCTCAGTGGAAAGCGTGCTTGCGTGGCTCCGTGCCATTGAGAAACGAAGAACATGCGCGCGTAAACGCGGTCTGTGTCGCTGGGGAGCAGGATGAGTGGCGGTGTCCACGAGGATTGGTGTTACATCAAGGGCTAGTCTGTGGCGCCATGTGCAACCGTGCAGCCTCAATGGAAAGCGTGCTTGCGTGGCTCCGTGCCATCAATGAAGAACATGCGCGCGTAAATGCGGCATGTCAAAGGGAGCGAGCCTGTGGCGTGCGGATGTGCGCGGCCTCAGTGGAAAGTGTGTGTGTGTCCACCCCTGAACAAAGGGTTTCCTTCGACCACTCCAATCAGGCAGGGGGATCAGGGACGTTTGGCTTGGCCTGATCCAACGAAGCTCCAGCCATTCGTCAGGATATTCTCGAGGGACGCCTTGAGAACGTACCTGCAAAGTGCTTCACAAGCTGTTACCCTCCTTTTCCGCTTTTTGATTCATGGTGGTTTCGCATGATACCTTCCCGCAAACCTTTCTTCTTCCCCAGCAGCTGCGCCGCCATCTTGATCGTCTCGCAACCGTTTTGAGTGAACAATGTTCAACAATACTTCTCAGCGGACTCTTTCGCCTTACCGTTCCATCACCTTCCTTCTTATCGTGAACTTGCATTAACGGAATACAAGTGTCAGAGTGTGTTTCGCTCAGCCGTCCCACTCGGGTGCTGAGTGTGATCCCAGTCACAGGGGCGCAGATTTTGCATGGGAAAGCAACCACCACAACGCACCACCACTCACTGGACTCTCACAGGAAGGCACCGACACCCTCACCGAATCAACTGACATACCGGCCGCCGGGCCAAAAAACGGTTCTTGAAGAATACATCGGATATCAGCTTTCAGATTTCGGATCCGTCATGTTCACTTCTCCAAGTCATGTTTGTTTTTCCACGAGCCTGAACCTACTTGACGGCTAAGTATTCACATACCTGCGCTGCTAAGTATTCACAGGCCGGATGAATTCATCATGCACA